GTATATTGCCCAGAAGGAATAACGGTTTACAAAATTTATAAGTGATTTTGGCACAGATGCATAGCTAATAATACAAACAAAACAATACTGGTGATAGTAATAGCAATTAAAATACAATAATCCCATCATATCTTCTGCTTTTGAATAAAACATACACACGGATTAACACATCTTTCATCAAACTCCATTCAAAAGTTTATGATTTTTTTTTTTTTTTTGAATGGTCGAAATTTCACAATATTGTGTAAGAATTTGTAGTGGTCTTGGTATAGATACTGAACATGGTTTGAATATTAAATAGTAACAATAATAAAATAACTATGAATTATAATATATCTAAAATCATATGTTTGCATATTGATGTCTCTGTAGAGGTTTCTTGATCACAGTGACATTTAAATTTAGGCTCTGTGTCTTCTGTTCTGATCCCCTAGCGGGAAAATTTATGCCTTTTACGTCCTTGATGAAAAGCATCCAAGATGGGCTAGCGTCTTTGTGGTTAAACTAATTATAAATAATTATTAGAATAACATACAATGTTACATTATACTAATATCAATATCATATGACATATCACAATATATCATGTACCATCATATATATTTAATATCATCCTCTATTAGCTTTCATCAATGCCGATGCCACCTTCATTGCCATCTGCGGCATTGCCATCATTAATATTTTTATACTCCTGTATAGCATTTAATGACAAAAAAGTCTTCTTTGAATGGTGTTTGAATCCAAGTGCTTAATAAATGGTACCCTCCAGCAGAGCATTTGCAATAAAACAGTCAAAATTTTACATACTGTAACCTCAACTCTCAATGGCTACGGTCACACTAGAGTCTCAGGCTTGACTCACCGCGGGTGAGATTTTTGTAATGTGACAACACCTGGATTGACTCGCGCCTGGCGTGACCTCGATCTCAATGGGGCTCAGCACCCAGATTGACCCTGGATTGACCCTGGCGTGACCAGGATTGACATTTCCTAGTCGGCTGTCGACCAATCACATTCGACGACGCCGTTACATTTAGAAGTTTTGGAATAAAAAAACCCGCGAGTTCTTCATGTGTGTATTATAATAAGACGCAATCATCAGTTGTCATACTTATCAATCCGAAAACTAGCATCGCCATTACATCCGAGCCTAGGCCTAGATCATCTAGATTCGCGTGCGGGTATTTTGATTGTGGCGGCGCTCTAACTTCCTATTTCGACTTTCCTAATTTGGAGGTCAATCCAACTAAATTCAGGTAGTGTCGTGACCGACCCAGAATTTCGAGCCTAGCTTGAAATCTCACCCGGGGGTGAGTCAAGCCAGGCTTGAGACTCTAGTGTGACCGTAGCCAAAATGTTGTGCACATTTATTCGTAACAAGAGGTCCAGATAGTAATTAAACATCATTCATGGAAAAAATGTCAGGCATTTTTAGTTATTAACTTTTTTTTAACCCTTCGAAAAAGTTTGTGATTATGATCAGATTAGTACTACTGGCTAGAATGCTCTCATTAAATTATTAATTTTATTTATCTGTGAAGAAAATCAGTAAACACCATTGTAAAGCAAAGGTACCATTTATAAAAACTAGTTGAGGTACTTTAAATACAAGCTTTTGTGTACACTGTACGCTTCTTTATTTAAGAAGTCTGCAGAAATATCACAAATAAACTTGGGGGCATAAGTGCATAGATCAGAATGTACTCAAAAATGAAAGTAATAGACTGAAAACAGAGTATTTAATATGAAACATGAGCCAAGATGATGATAATATCGCTGCTTCTGTAAGTACTTAAGTATCTTTTTTTAGGTTTGTCTTAATTTAAATCCTTTGCTTTCATACGACTCTAGCCAGCAGCAACTTAACTCATCTTTAGAATTACTTTAGAATAGCCAAATAATAATCATTGTTTATGATATATCTTCCAAGAAAGCAAGTAAAATCTTTCTCACCTTGAACAGAAAATGAGAGTTGCTAATTACTGGATGAAAAAATTTTAATAAAGTACTTTTAAAAAGTGAATTTTTTTCTTGGTGGTTAAAATCCTTACCCTTTGAATTCCAAGGTTTTAGTTCAATTTTAGCTGTAATAAATGTCAGGCAGACTTTTTTACACAACCAATACTGACAAATCCCACTGTTGTATTATGTTTTTATTAATCGTTTTAAATCATTCTTAACCTTGATAGCTTTTAGTTTAATTGATAGTTTAGTTGGATTGGATGGGATTTCATGTTTGTACTGTAAAGGGCACCAAGTGTGGTTCATGGAAGCTTTACTCCTTTACAGCAGGGTCCTTCTAGTGGTGAATTGGGCAGTAGGCCTACAGTACACTGGAAGACAATCCTCTGATCTGAAAAATGAACTGCTTTCTTGAACGTGACCATGGTACACTGAAGTGATGGCTTAGACCTCTTCGAAAGATGGTGGGTTTTACTGACATTTGCATTTCAGCTCTCCACTGAAACGCAGGGAGAGTATAGTGGAAATGAACCAGGAACCAATGAAAGATCTCCACGGATCAGCGCACACATAGTCTTTACCACTAGCCAACTGAGAAGCTGCTGTATATTTTGTTTTATTGCGTTATATGTTCTTCATTTAACTGTTTGATGCCTAAAGCTTAGACTGAAATGCTTTCACTAGAAAGAACGCCTTCATAATTGAATGTCTCATCATTATCACTGTTACGGCACATTTTGCAATGTCACATTTAATAGTTGAATGTTTTTGTAAGAATTTCTATGAAAAGCAAATTCTCTAATGTTGCAAAAAGTGTCACATTTGATAGTTTGCTAAATTTATTTTTTTATGATTTTCTAAGAAAAGGTAATTTTTTTATTGAAGTTCCATTAGACTTTTTTTTTTCAATTAACCATTAGACAACATCATGCAAACAATGGAATCAGACATCTGTTTACACACATCTAATGTTTTTCAATTATTAATTTTTTGTGATTTTTTTTTTTAACATGGTTGGCATTATTTAGATTAAAGCACATCTTTTGATGACAAAATTGAAGTTTAAGTTACTGGTATTTCATTTTCATTCCAATTTATTCTGCATTTAAACTAATATAATTATTTTGATGGAAAGTGCTTTATCAGTTGTTGATAGTAATTCACAAAAGTAATTTGATTTATAACAATTGCATAATGGTATAAATGTAATTATCTCAAGCAATTATTCTTTAATCTAAATAAGAGCAAGACATGGCCTTGTTTCACTTTACTAAAACAAGAATAAAAGTAACGAAGACGATATAGTTTATTTTATTTTCTTTCTATCACCTTTGTTTTGTAAAGATTCTTCAATTAATTGTCTTCAACTTTTTCATTTATTGTTTTATAGACTTTTCATTTCGAAATCAGCAATGGAACCACAGCCCTGTACCTGTAAAATTGCACTCCATGGGTGATACAAGCTTGTATGGCACAATTAAGTTCAAATATTAAATTATTATTAAAATGAATATTAAAGATATACAGAAATTAAAATTTATTCAGTCAACAAACAAATTAGGATATTAGGAAAACAAAACTTAAGAGGTAATCAGTGGCGTAATAATAAATGGGGGCTGATGGGCGCGAAGGTGGAGTAGGAAATGGTGGGTGTCTGGGGCGTAAGTTTTTTGGGGGAGGTGCGACCCACCCACCATCCCTAGATACACAACTGGAATGTACATTTTTTCTATTTATTTATTTTTTTACTGTAAATTTACATTTAAACACATGAACAAAAAATAGGATGATTTAAACTATAATACAATACTTTTACTGTACTAGCATTTCAGTAAATGTAGGTGTGTGTCAAGTCTGAAAACCTCCCAAAATAAAAAAAATAAGTCATATAAAATACTTGTTGAAAGACTCAAGGAAAAGCAACTACAAATGTACTGTCAACAGATCAGAACAATTCTACAGTACTTCTGCTGATATTCTTATTAATACTTAATCATCATAAATTTGACTACCATTTTTGTCACTACTATATTCCAAATTTGGAATTAGAAATTTTGGACCCACGGCGGCCATAATACGGCGCCAGCACCATGTCCCCCGTCTCCTCGAACTCTCTTGCGTGTGTTATTGGGGCAGACGAGCGATTGACTCCAATTAAACTGACATTGGCGGATTTAAAGAAAATGGAGGAACATTACCTCTCGACCAGATGCTCAGCTCAAGCCAATTTAAGGGTGATATAAAAAAAAAAATTACGGTATTACTTAAGCCAATAAGAATGTATATTTAGATAAGAAAAGTAGGAAATTTAGATATAAAATTTACTTTAACATTAGCCAAGATACCTTATCTTCAAACTAGCAGATAGTATCATTACCATTTTTAAAATCTATTTTTATTTTTATGTTAATCAATACAATATGAAAACATTGTTAATTAAACATTAAACTAATATCCAATATCATTATTATTATTCTCAAAGGTTTCATACATTAAATTCTCCAACAAATTTATGTTAACCCATCACAATTGAGCCCAAAACCAATTTCATGACCACCATTTGGTTGTTTATTCAACTATAACTTATGAACTGAGTGATTGATAGGCCTATTGAATGATTGTTTGATTAATAAATTTATTGGATGGAATTTTTTCTTAATGCTTCAGAACATTTATTCCAGATTTAGGGGTGTGAAAATTCTCCCTACTCCAATGAAACTTAATAATGGCCATTTTTAGTATTTTAACCAACATATTGGGACAAATTTGCCATCATGAGACGGGGAGAGGGGCGGGGTGAACACCCATGATACATTAGCATCAAACTTGCCAGATCTCTCAAAGAGTTCACCAAGAGAGAAAATAAGCAAAACAAGGTCTGACTCAAACAACAGAGCATCAGAAAGAAAAACCGCAAGAAAAGATCATTCAGTTTCCATTGCAAAAACTGTGTTAAAGGTGCTTCTCTTCAACTCTCAAAGTATGGCATAGTAAGCATTGATTGATAGATTAATTGGTGATCAATAACATGAACTTACATCAGATCCTTGCTCCTTGACAAGTAATACTGAGCACCGCTCGCATTTCAATAATGATTGAGCTCTCTGCATTATCTTCTGTACAACATTATCCAATGATGTTTGCTCTTCAAAAAGGTGATGGGTCACTTCCAACAGTTTCTGAAAAAAAATTAAAATGTTAAATTTTAAAAATGAACTGCCTGTCACGAGCTAAAAAAATGTAAAATTTGATTCCATATTTGAATACCTGATTTGATATTATTCTCCTAAAGACGACTGAAACAACTCAATCGAAATATTGAGACATTCTCAACTAACAACAGTTCCTTTAAGAACTACCTATGTGCCACATTTTTTTTCTACTTGTTTCTGGAAGGAAGTCAAGGACTTTCAATCACTTTAAAATGAGATTTTCAATGTTGTAAATCAATTTTTAAGGTTTTTTTTTTGTTTTTGTTTTTTTTTTGGCAGATATTGTATCTTTAAAAACAGTGCGGTTTTGTGCCCTCTGAGAACAACTATTCTAAGAAAAATACGTACACGATTGCGATCATATTCTTTCCTGTAATTGTCAAAAACTTGCGCATTAGTTATTCCAATTCCACAGAATGTTAAGTAGGTGACTAAAAGCTGTAAAGATATAAGTATAAAGTCACATGTTTTATTTATTTTTTTGCAATATTTTGCAAAATATTTTGTACACCAAAATAATAAAAATACTATTTAACTATAACAATATAAAAACAAATTATTTCACTTTTTTAACCAAATAATCTTTAAACAGCCTTTATGATGCCAGCAAATCACAATAAGAAATGACAGAAATACAATGTATTTTATTAACTTTATTTTAAATTCCACTTGAATTGAATTATAGAATGTTAAATGTAAATGGTATATGGCTGTGTATTGTAAAGCGCATAAGTCTCTATGCACTTGAAACACATTATTAATAACACATACTGTACAATACATTAAAACAATAAAAAACATTTTAAAAACATACACAGCCTTGTATAAGTAAAACATCAAACAAACTTTATATCTTCATTGATTTTTTTTCTTCCATGTTTCTTAATACATGTATATAATACCTGATCATAATTTAATGCTCATTTATCATGGATTCAAACCTAAATAAGACTCGTTGAGTGAGAATCCTTTTTCTGTTTAACACGCACCCTCAATTTAATTATTTGAAATGTAAAGAATATTACACTAAAATGTTAAGATTAAGTGATTTTTAATTACATTTGTTTTTTCTTTGAATTCCTTGTATTGTATTTTTGTTTGATTGATTGTTTCTTATTCTTGTATATTTAATATTTTGGACCACGATGGAAATAAGTCTGCCTTGCTAGTACTTTATTGTGTTTTTATCCATGAATATTATTTTTTTATTCAGAATAAATGAAAAAAAAAACTACATTCCCCACAGAGTGGCATATTTAGGAGACTTGAAATGGGAGGGGGGATGCTGATATAGGGCATGAATGCAGTAGTGAAGGATTGATAATTAAATGAGCGGGAGCGAAATAATGTATTGTGAAGTGATTTTTAACTACATGAGCTCAATTGCTTTTGCTTCAAACATTACCAGTTGAGGGAGGCGATACCAACCCTTTAGCATGTACACAAATATATTTAACTTTATAGTACTCGGCACACAGACATATTTACTGTACGCCTACACTTTATAAAGTATACTTATAGCTAATCACATAGGTCAGTTTAAAGGAGTTAATGGCATCCAGGTAAAAGAATTAGCATCTTGAAAACAAAAATTAAGCAGCACAATTGAAAGTTCAGCAAAAGATAAAGTAAGATTAATTGTTTCTTGTGACAGACTTAATTGGTCAAAACATGGTAAAATCAGAGGAAAACGAATCTGTTAAGTAGAGAAATTCAACATTGTTATAATGGGTCTGTCGAGACGTGAGGAAGGAACGTTCATTCCAATGTAATATATCGTCTATAAACAGGCTCCTGATGTTTTCATTTTACACAGAAGTAAAAGGATAAATTCTGGGGTCAATAATCCATATTTCAGTAACATTAACTGATAAAAACATTAAATTACACATGTTTAGCTCTTTAAATGAGATTACAGTACAGTCCTTGATCACTCCCTTCCAATGGTATTATATACCTCTTGAAGTCTGTCCAATGAGATTAAACACATCCTTGATTTTATGTCCTAATGGGATTACATACTTCCCTTCACCTGAAGAAGTTAGCATGAGCATGGAGGTATAATAAGCTAGCAAAAGCTAGTAGTTTTAAATAAATTTGTTAATCAAAACAAGGTGCTATATGTTTAATTCATCGGGGTGTTTTTTTTTCATTTATTTGACTAATCAGAGAAAATAATTTAATTCTGGATATTGAATAGGATATTTTTAAATTTTTCTTTTTGGGTAATTCAGCTGTAAATTTTTGTAAGCAAATTTAATCCACTAAAAAAATAGTTATAGTTAAATGTAAAATATGAATATTTAATTTGCTAACAAAAAACTAGATTAACCAAAACAAAAAAAATTTCCAGAAATATTTGATAATATTATCCAAATCCTATTTTTGTTCTCATACACCCCTTGACCAAGTCATGATTTACTATACAGGTAAATCTTTTAAAGCCATCAGGGCTAATAGCGCTTATCCCCAGTTTCTGTAGCGTGAAGCGGATGAGGGTGTAATACTCCCCTGGTTAGGACGCTGGTCCTAAACAGGTTACTCCCAGCAATTTGCTGGTACCCATTGATACAGCTGGGTAGATTGAAGCAATGTAAATTACCTTGCTCAAGAATACAAGCGAAATGCACAGTGAAGGATTGAAACCCCAAACTCGAGGTTGGAAAATTAAACCATTCCCACTGTTCCAAACCACTTTTACAAATCAAGACTATACATCCCTTACGTTCCTTCCTCTATTACAGATTCATTATTGTTGTTTACTGAAATAAAGGGTGGGAAGAGATGGGAAGAGGCTAAAATAAAAACTTCTTGATTTCAAAGAGTTATCTTTTTTATGTCATTTATAAAGTATGATTTCTTAAACTTCAAGGCAAACACCTTAAAAAAAAACAAGTTTTATTTCTCATATATATATGAAACTAAAGTAGATTATTACTTTTTTAATTTGTTTGCAATATTAATAAATTGTTGCACTGCTATAATGAATACTGTATGTGTCAACATGGTTTATAAAACTTTCATATGAATGATTATTGTTGATTATTATAGAAGTAATACTGTATCATTCCAATGGCATTAGAAATATCTCTGGAGATATCTGTGTAAGTGTCTAGAGTAATAGATAAAGCTAATCATATAAAATGAAAATGAAAATCACATTAATCAGCTGATTATGAAGAGTTCAACGAACCTCTTCCAATCATATTACCATCAACAATAATACCCGATGCAATCAAGATAAAATGCTACATGGGACTCGTGCTAAGGCGAGACTTTTTTCATACCATGTTTAGCGAACCCACCAACTGCAATTATTGATGATTTTTAATAAAAATAAAATTTTATTTTTAGCCAATTAGTGCACCCGCTGCCACGAAAAAATGGAAATTTCAGATAAAAAAAACTTTTTCTTTATTTTTATTATGCCCTCTGCTGTCTTGAAATCTCCAAAGATAAATTTTGTATATTTCTTCCAAATTATATATAATTTGAAGCATTTAACCATCTTATTTAACATTTACAAGTAAAATATTTTTTTTTGTCTCCTCCGTCTGCATGATTTTGGCAAAACTATTTGCCAAATAAGAAAACAAAATTTTATTTTTATTCTGCCTTCCTCCGATAATCTTTAAAAAAATAAGTATGCGAAACAAGGAATAAAAAAAGGCTCACATAAATGTTAGAGCTCTACACAGAAGTTCTGAGTTGTCTTCACACAATTCCATCGCAGTGCTTTCTATGTGAAATATAGTTTAGCAAACTGTCTGTAGGACCTTAACCATGAGCAGGAGTAAGCAACAATGATAGTGTGACGTATTCTTATTCTTATAACTCATTTGAATGTAATCAATTATAGTTTTGAAGTTCCTCTTTATATTTTATTACTGTACATCATTCTCAATGCTTTTTATGCTACTATTCATTATTCACCTTTCTATGTCTTCAACGTGTTTGTAATGTTACTGGTATTACTATCATCTTTTTATATTATTTCTCACATGTTACTTATGTACAGTAATTTTTAATGTTTTATTATGCGATATTTTTTTTTTTCTCTTTTTGTCTTGATGGAATATTTTTATTCCTCAATTTAATGTTTTATATACTTATCATTAATTACAATTTGATTTTCTCAATTTTTTTATTAAATTTTTCTGCAATTTTAAAGTAATTTTGCAAATTATGTTTTATATGCTTTTAATAATCATATTGTGCAGTGGTCTTATTTATTTTTTCCTTTATTATTGTTAAGCTTTTTGATGTTCAAATAACTCGCAATTCAGCCTTTTGGCTGCTATGTTTTATGTTTTCATGAATTTTGAAAAAATACCATTACTGTAGTTCCGCGGGTCCCACCCCCCATTAACTTGAAATTGGCCCAATTTTGGGGGGTGGGATTATACCGGGGATTCCTATATGCATGAACAGAACGAAAGTGACGATCGTTTTGCAAGGTGGCAGAAGTATCAGAAAAACTGTCCTAGGATTCAATGGCATCTAAAACTATATTCCGGTGAAGAAATCAGAGTTTACTTAAAACATCGAAGGGAAGGGAACACCCTAATTAATAGGCCAAAGCGCCTAGCTAGAGAGGCCATATCTTGGTCTTACCTCGAGCTGGGCCAGCCTTTGCATAAACTTTCTTGACGTCGTAGGTTATTTTTTACCCAGCAACAACCAATCCAACCAATTACCTATCGCATAAAGACCGCCACTTGTAATGCATGATGTAACAAGTTATTTTTAGCAGTGAGAGTCTGTGTGCAACATGGGTCTTCATGCTGTGAATTAACGATCCGATTAGCCCACTGGGCGGGTCTCTTTGGGGACGAACCGCAGTGTTGTCTTTTTTTAGCTGCAGCTATGGAGCTTGTTAGTCTTCATGCCATGAATTAACGATCTGATCAGCCTACTGGCCGTGTCTCTTTAGAGGCGGACCGCGGTGTTGCCCATTTTTAGCCGCAGTTAGGGAGCTTGTTTATTTTAACAACAGTAATCAACAAGAATTTACAAGAATGGGCTTTTTATTCAACTTCATGGTGACAATGTCTGGTCTAAGCAATTGGAGAGTTTAAGGTCTGCCGAATTCGGAGCTAAAGCTTTCATATTTTGTGAGCATTTGTTAAATTTGCCGACCTAGACCTACTGTAGGCCTACTCACCTAAATTATACACTGGGACTTTGCCCGGGGAAATGCCTGTATGCAGAGTTTGGTGTAAAGTCAGCGGTGGGATTATACCCGAGGAACTACGGTATGTATATTATTACCAGTGTTTAAGCTGTCAACAGCCAATCCTTAAAACCATTGCTAAATATTTTCATTCAAAATTAGCCAAACAGCTAATAGAATTGAAGATACAGTATCCATTGCTTCTTTTGTTTTGGATTATCAATATTCTATTTGGCTAATTATTTTACACCAAATTTGCCAAAAT